AATGCCAGCTGACTTCTTTCTAGGATGTGTTTCCTTAGTCAGCATTGAAATACGGTTGTGAAGAAGTTTGAGGAGAACAGGAAATTCTGCCCTAGTGTTCATTCACTCAGCGAGCATTTTTAGACAACCTGCTCTGTACATGCAGTGCCGTGAAATAAAGAAAACACAGGGTCCCTGCTCTTGAACTCCTCTAGGTGGAGAAGGAAAGGCAGACTTCACGTAGTAAATGGTTTTAAGGCAAGGTGTTCGTCCTCTGACAGGCGCAGTGAAATCGGGAACAATTCTACATGGCTTGGAGCCACTCTTACCTTTGCTTGTGTGACTGCAGCAGAAAGATTCCAAAATGTGTTTTGTTTATGTGGTTTTGGAGTATCGACTGTTAGCCCCCATCATTCATCTGATGAATGAGAAAAAAATGTATTTATAGTTACAAAAGTTGTCTCACAAACCAGTGAACCTTTTATATTACTGTGTGTGGAGGTGGTATTTGCAGATGATCTAAGGATTTTTATGAAATTTAATTTTTTGATTGTTAATTTTTATCTTCTCTCTTCAGCCTTCTCCAGAGTTCTGATCAAGAAGTTGCAAATAAAGTCAAAGCTGGTCTGAAAAGCCTGATTCCCACATTGGAAAAAAACAAAAACACCAGCAAAGGAATAGAAATGCTACTTGAAAAACTGACTGCATAAGTGGAAACAGTTGAGGACAAGTTGGAATCATTTTTCCTCTTCTGTTCTCCCAGTGTGGAAAAGAAGCGCTAGGGTCCGTCGTCCTGGTACTTTGGGTGCTCTTTACATGTGTTTCTTTGTATAAGAATTTATTTATAAAATGATTTCTTAAAATGGCTTTTTTAAAAAAAAATCCCAGCCTTCTCCTTTATCATACTGGTAGTAAGCAAATCACAATGTAAAAGATGTAACAGTCATACACAGTGGGACCTACCAGATGTATATGAAGTGGTTGCATGCGTTGATTCAGGGAAGAAGGATGTCTTCAGTGGGCAGGAGTCTGAGAGGCTTCGTGAAAGAGGAGGAACCTGAGGAGGCCTCAAAGGAAGGCAGGGTGTGGTAAAGAAAGCCCCTGGGAGCACTTGGCGGGAGCAGTGAGGTGGACGTCAGGGAGCCTCAGGGCATGATGGGCCCAGGGCGGGGGTCCTCTACAGGCAGGGCAGCTGCACTCCCAGCCGCCTTATGGATTGGGCTCCACGTTAGATTTTGTTTGGAACAAGCCACTCCAGTATGTTAAAACTTGTAGGGAACAAGGTGCCTAGATGAATTGGGGTCACAGTGGGTAGTAGTGTCATGGTCAAGGTCATAGGGAAAATCGCCTTGCCTTCGGAACTGGGCCTTCCAAGTTCCAATAAGCTCCTTGTAATGAGACTTTCTCTCTTGGGACTTTCCCTAAAGTAGTTGAAGCCTATAGGGTTTGAGTGAGAAGAAAGGAGTTAATAGTGCAGAAGTTTGAATTTAAGTGCAAGTAGGATGGATGTTTGAGTTTTAAAACTATACTTGGCTTCCCAGCAAGAAGGCTTGAAAGGATTGGTAGATCAGTCAGGCTCCCGGGGCCCTGCCGGTGGTGACCTGACTGCTTTTGATACGGGGCCGTCGTGCTTTCTCTCAGCAGACTGCTGTCACCGGACACCCACTCGGGTCTGTGACAGATACCTCTGAGGAGGATGGCTGTGCCTTTCCTGACCAGACTGCGGGGTCCCAGGACTACTCCCAACACACAAGCTCCCAGGACTTCACCTGCCACCCTCTGTCCTGCTGGGTACATTGAGCTATCATTCTCTTCTGGCCTGGATTCTCCCCATCCCCCGACCCTGCCAGGTCTCAGGGTGGAGGCGGACAGCTGGGGAAGCTGGGGACAGGATGAGGAGGTAGTGGGGAAAAGGCAACATTAGAGCTTGCTCTTGTTTGACTAATATATTGTCACTATCCTTTTTAGACATTTCCTTTTTTAACTTCCTAATATAGGAAATTACAGATGAAGGCTTTTCACCACCACTGTCCCCCTACTTCTTTTCTCCCTGTCTCCCCAATAGAATTGCCTCATTTTTGATAAATCAGTGTTCAGTTTATATGATTATGCCGACATAAATTGTTAAATACTGAAGGAAGTAGTGAAATGTCATTACATTTCCTACACCATTTTTTTTTCCCCTGGAATTAATAATTACCTCACTTGTTTTCATTTGCTTCCTTTTCTACATTTCTGTTATTAATTTTTCTCAAATTGTCCATCAGAATTGTGTGAACTCTTTTCCTCTTTCTTCAGCCTGGCGAGGCTCCTGCGTTACTGGTGTCCATCCCTTTCCACTTGGCTCCTGTATTCTGACTAGTCTCCTTCAGTGTTTCCCATTCAGTGTCCCTCGAGGGAGTCATAGATACATTGAGGTTTTAACAGCCTCATCTGTTACTCCACTGGGCCATACAAACTTTCCCCTTGTGTGACCTACTACTGGGGCCCCCTTCCTGAAGTCAGTGATGGATTTAGGAAGGAGCCTGGCCGATGAACCTTAGAAGAAAAGTGTCTTCCTGGGGAAGGTTCCTTAGGTCGCAGACTCAAAAGGAACAGAGCCCCTTTCCTGCCGGCAGACTTGAGTATGTGCAGAAAGCATACTGAGGATGGCTGAGCAAGAAGGTGAAAGAATCTGGAATTTTGATGCTGAGCTGCTGAATAAATCAACTCTCGGAGCTGCCCTCCTGAATTTCCTGTTATGTGAGAGAAGAAACTTTCTTTTATCTTTTAGGCCATTTTGAGTTGAATCTTTTAGAGACTTGCAGCCAAAAATACACTAACCTGTCTCTGAATACTAATTTCTACAGTAGCACATCAGGTCACCTGGGAGCCACTGGCTGTCTGGGTATCTTTTTTTTTTTTTTTAATATTTATGTATTTTCTGGGAGGAGATAATTAGGCCTCCTTATTTATTTTTGGTGGAAGTCCTGGGGACTGAACCTCTGGGTGTCTTGAAGAACTGCAGCATCTCCATCCTCCTCTCCCTGGGCCTTTTCTTCATGTCTTCTCTGGGAAGCCCATTTCTAGGACCCCATGGATTTCATTTTTCTGCTTAGCATTCTCTTTTGAATGGGGCACAATCTCCATGAGCTTCCGGAGAAAGAATGCACATGAGGTAAAATTTTAAAGTCTGAATGTCTTTATTCTCCCCTTTCATGCCTGGGCACCTGGATGTAAAATTCTAGTTTAGCTGGATATAAAATTCTAGTTTGACATTCAGTTTGCCTCAGAGCTTTGAAGGCGCTGGCCAGTGTTCTGTTTGGCCCACAGAGTGGCTGTAGAAGTCCAGTGCCATCCTCCATGGGCTTTTATGTGTGGCCTTTTGGTGGCGGGAGGCGTTTCTCTGAAAGGTTTCAGGACCTTCTTTATCCCTGGCTTTCTTGTATTTCAGAATAATGTGCACTGGTGTGTGTTGTGTGTGTTGTGTGTGTCTGCTCTTCATTCTTCATGCTGGATGGGTCCTTGAGGAACTTAGAGAAGCCCTTCTATCTGGGGGCTGTATTTGTGTTGTCTCCTTAATCCCCCCCACACATACACCCCCACCTGCCTTTCTCTGTCCTTCTCTTTGAAACTCCTATTTTTCAGATTTCAAATGTTGATTTGGTCCTCTAATTTTCTTTTTTCAATTCTTTGGCTTTTTGTTTTGCTTTCTGGATGAGATAGCACCTCCACTCTCTCTACCAGCCATTCCAGTGAAGTGCTCTTTTCTTGTTTCTTGAATGAAATACCTCTTTGGCCTCTGGGCGTGTTGTATTTTCTGTTTCTTTTGTTATGTTTTACTTTGTTTTGTCTCTTTTCTGCTGGCTGCACTTTTTATTTTGATCTGTCATGTTTGAGACTTTCTGGGAGAGCTCTTTGGCTCTTCTTTATATAATTAAGACACTAGAACCTGATCAGAAAGGGGGCAGCCTGTCCATTTCTCTGGACTGCTGACTGTTCATGGCATAGGTGACCAGGCGTGGATGCTGTTTCCCTGGAGTCCTCCACATTTCAGGATCTGTAGGCCTTTTGTGGGGCCATCAGTGCCTCCGAAGGGAAATGCAGCTGGTAGTCAGTACTCTGGTTGCTCAGTGGTCAGTGTGCAGAACCTACCTGCTTTGACTGCAGTGCCTGTCCCTCGTGCTCTGTGGTACATCCGGCCCCCTAGTCTAGAGATATTGAACCAACCTGAGTCCACAAAATAAACTCTCAGCCTTCTCTCTGCCAGTGTGTGGAGGGCTAGTCAACCAGCTTTAGCCAATCCCCCTGTTTTCCATCCCAAGCCTCACCCTGTCTTCTGGCACTTTGCACCTCTAATTGCTGGGATTTTCTGTAGATCAGAGTGAGAATTAACGTGGTTCTCTGCACGTGCTTGGTACTCAGCTTTCTCAGCGCTGCTGCTTTCTCCGTGGCTTCCTCCTCTTCCAGGTGTTTGTTGCTGTTGTTCACCCACTGATGGCTTCTCTCCCTCACTTGGTTGTCTTGACTTTATACCATGTTTATTCTTAGCAGAAATCCAGAAATGGTTTTAACCAAATTAAAAACAACCTTCCTGGCTAAATGAAGGATATGTTATCTTTGGAAAGGCTTACTGGATTTGAGAAAGCCTTTAATTTTAAAATTTACCTTTGTAGTTTTCAGATTGCACCAACCCCGTGCTTTCGCCAGGGATCAGACATTGCCTAGAAGGAAGGAGAACTTGCTTCCCCTTGAAGCCCATGTTTTAAGTAGTGTGTGTTTGCCTACAGGGATGAAGCTTCCTGCATGTCTGAACTCAAAGGATTGGCTCTTTACGATAGGAGATAGCACTTCTGTTGCTATTTGCAATGAAATTTTGAAAAGGTTACATCTTAATTATAGCAGATTAGTCACTTTTAAGAGTATGTCTAGCAAAGATAAGGGTGTGTGTGTATTTTTAGAATAATGGTTAAGGGAGAACAAGGTCTCAAAAAAAGCAACAGCTAATACTGAACCGCTAATGAAACAATTTCTAGACCAAAATTTAATGAACTCAGATGAACATAAAAATATGCCTCTTGAACTCTTTTCTCACCTATGAAATTGTTTAACCTAAGTAAACTACGTTTATAATCATCTCCATCTGTTACAGGCTGAATTAATTGTGTCTCCTTCAAGTTTGTGCGTGGAAATCTTAGCCTCTCTCCACCCCTCCACCCCCCCAATACCTCAAAATGTGACCATATTTGGAGGTAGAGTCTTTACAGAGGTAATTAAGGTAAAGTGAAGTCAGCTGGGTAGACCCCCGTCCAGCATGACTGGTGTCCTTGTAAGACGGGATCAGGACGCACACAAAGAAGATCGTGTGAAGACCAGAGAGGAGATGGCCATTCACAAGCCAGGGAGAGGGGGCTGCAAGTGGAGTGAACCCTGCTGACCCTGCACCTTGGACCTTCGGCCTCCAGAAACTGTGAGGAGAGAAGTTTCTGTTGTTGAAGCACCCAGTCTGTGGTGTTTGTTACACAGTCCTGGCAAACTAATACACCACGTTTCCTTTTCGAAATGTAAAACCATCACCATCTGTGTGCCCCCAAATTCCCTAACCTTTTTCCCAGTTGCATTCTTAAGGGTTTTATATGAACAGTCTTAACCAGGAGATAGATTGTGTTCTTTGGGTTGCCTGTCTTATATGAACAGGGGCTACGTGGCTGTTGTGCTCGGCATTCCAGAGTGTGCAGACACTGATTGCTGTGTGCACGTTTGCACCCAGAACAGCACCTTGGAAGATGGTGCCGATGTTTCCACTCCCTTCCCTGTGAAGGAGTGGTGTTCGGAATCTTTCATCAAAATGTTTCCTAATTTTTAAACAGGGACTCTGCCCACTGCTGAATGTAAGTGGATGAAGACAGCTTCACAAACGTCGTAATGAGAAATTTTGGCCAGCGCTCTCTTGTTCTTAGGGGAATTCATCCTGTCCTGGGAGCAAATGATAGTTCTTAGTTGTGCCTGATATGTGACAGCTACTTAAGTGGAAGGTGATGGGAGTCTGGTAAGGTGGTGAGAATCGTCTGACTTTGTGCTCTTGATGACTGTAATTAAGCATAAGAATAATTTAGATGTTTTAAATGACTTCCAGATGCTTGAAAACAGACTCTCCTTTTAGATAGAAATCGTGCATGTAAAAGTCCTGTTCTTATTGATAAACCTGCCGGTAAAGCCATCGGCCTGCTGCTATTACACTCAACGTAGGCAGTGATGGAAAGAATAAACCTGATTTTTAAAGACCTGTATAATACCCTGAAAGTGGTTTTGAGGAAATGGGCAAGTCTTGGGTTTATTTTTCTTGCTTAATCAACTGTTTTGCCCCATCTGTATTGCCTAATAACCTAAGTCTAGTTCTAAAAGTAGATTTGTTGGAACCCATTTTATCTGCTTATAATAACCTGGTGGATGTGTTTTGGTCTGGCTGGCACCTCTTTGGGGGTTCCCTTCTGCCCACATTTCACAGTCATCCTATTTGGGTGGGATGAACCCATCATGACCTGCCTTCACCCGGTACACATGACCCAGGTCTCCCAAATCACACCACCATTCACTTGATCACAATGATTACTTAGTGGGTGAAGTATTCTTATTAATAAGTAGCCTCAAATCAGAGTCTGGCATGGGACCAAAATGAGAGCATTTAGTGTTCTGAGGAGTCTTCTGAAAGACACCCTCCTTTCCCCTGGGATCTCACGCTCCTGCACCTGTCCCCTGGTACTGGCTGCCTTGATGCTATATTTCATCAATTCTAAAAATGCACCCTTTTCCCCACATTTTACACATTTATCTTACAGTGGATGGCATCTTAGCCAGCTTTTTTTCTTAGTGATAATATAAGATAATGGTGGGTCTTAGAATCAAGGCATGTGGCAGTTGGTAAAATACAGTATTCCCTCTTTTCCTCTCTACATAAGCCTGCTTTGCTTTTCTGTAGTAGCTTTTTACCCCTCTCAAAACTTTTCTTTATTGCTGGACTCCTAGGTGTCTTCTGCTGTATAATTACACTCAAATTACACCCCTTTGGAAAATGAAAATCAGGTTAAATTAGAAGCAGCGTAGGATAGCGGCTAGGAGCATGGTCCAGAACCACATTGCGATTTGAAGCCTGACTGTTAACTGGGCGTCCTTGGTCAAGTTACATCACCTCTCTGCTTCCGTTGTCCCCTTTATAAAAAGATGAAGCACACTTCACTGGGCCACTGTGAAGACTGAATGAGTTGATATATGAAAAGGATCTAGACCTGGGCCTGAACACACAGGTGGGGCTCCCTCCCAGGGCGGGGCCTCCAAGTGAGCAGGTGGAATCGTGGGAGATTTTGAGCTTGCTCGGTAGGCCGCTGTTGTCTCAAAGCCATGACTTGAAGTTCAAAGTTCCCATCTTTGAGTTTTGTTTTGTTTTTTCACATCAAGCATTTCAGTAACCCTTGCCCCAAGGTGCAATATTATAGTTGTACTTTTGAGTATGTATTGGCCAAGAAATCACGTAGAAATGTCCATGAATTCATTACCACTCTGAATATTATACAATTTAAATCAGCTGTGTACCTTTGAAAACTGTCTCTCCAGGTGGGGCAAGGTAGGGATTGCAGGCCCCCTGCAGTCTTTCCTGCCCACGTATTAGGAAACAGAGTGAAAGCACTTGAGTCCAAATAGGCTTCTTTCAAATGCAAATAACCCTTGTAGGAGCAGCGCGTTTAGTTTTGATTAACACCTTCCTTTAGAGTCTGTCAGCTTGTTCAGTAGAGTGCTGAGAGCCAGACAGGTTGGAGGGTTTGTTTCTTTGGGGAAGGAACAAGGGATAATTTGAGGTCAGTCACCTGGGCCACTAAAGCCTGGGGACAGCAGAGAAGTACAGAGTTTCAATTTGGGTCGTGGTCTTGGCCAGGAGACACGGCGGGCCAACTCCAGGTGATTTTTTTGTGGAGACTTCGAAGTAGCCTTGGATTTGTGTGAGAAACTTGGACCCTGCACGCGTTCTGCCACTTGCTAGGCAGGTGATCTTGGTCCTCAGTTTCCTCATCTATAAAACAAGCACCTGCCTCACATTCCCTCAAAACTTTTTTAAACAGTAAGGTTCACTGCAAATGCGAGGGGTTCTTGAGAGCGGTGCCACGGTGAAAAGCGTGTGGAGTTTGTTTTCAGAAGATCTGGCTTCAAGGCTCGGCCCTGTCTCTGACCGGGAATGTGGGTAAGTCACAGTCTTTAGAAACTTATTTCTAATGTTTTGTTGGTAAAAATAGCAATAGTACCTGAAAACTTCAGAGGGTTGAAGTCAGAATCAAGTGAGATTTGTGTATGTGAAGGTGCCTTGTAAAATTTTGTAGGTGTTTATAATTCCTCTGGTAGATTAGATATTCCTTGCCTTGTTTGGTCCCCAAGTCACAGCATTGTGGTGTACAGATTAAAAATAAAAAAACAGCTGCGCTACTATTAGGTAAAATGATCTGAAGCCTAGAGATAAGCCAAGAAGATTCGTCCCATTCAGAGACACACTAGGGTGTTATCTACAAAAGCACGAGGCTATTTGACTTTTCTAGAGGATGTAACTTTGCTTGACATACTGTTCTATTAAATAGGATCCAGACTCTGGAAAAATGGATGGTAATGTGTAGAATATCAATAAGTTGCAAACAATTTCTGTCTAAAGCAGAGACAGCTGCAAAGATTAGAGCTGTATTGCCCTGTAGAACATTAACCAGTGTTGATCTAACTGTGGTCTTTGTCTAATAGTTTTTCTTTCATGAATGAATGAATGAAAATATATATATATATATAGATGACTAACGAGGAAAGCATACCAATGTATTCAGTGTAAGTTCTGCATGACAAGGGGGCCTTCATAAGGAAGCGAAGACCTAGAGAATCAGTTAAACCCGAGCATCTCTATGCTCGGTCTGATCAAGTGTGGACAGTCGTGGGACAAAAGGGCTAAGGGTAGTAAACCAGGAGACAGCAAGGCGTGTTCTTTCAGATTCCTCGCGGTGTCCCTCCACCTTCAGAGACGAGGATGCTCCTTCCCCTTCAGGTAGGAGGGCACCTCTTGCTTGAGGGTCTGAGGACCTGCTTCAGGGGAAGGGCAGAAAGTCTTGCACCTGCCGTTTTTCTAATTCCTTCAACTGAAACATCCAAGGTGCCGTATTTTGGAGTTATGTGTCCTGAACCTCATCAGTGTTAGCACCCTGCTTGTTTTCTCATTAAGGAATTTTATCAATCTTCAGTGTGTCATGTTTGTATGAGAATCATCTTTTTCATGTTCTGAAAATATTGTGACATTCTAAAGTAGCTTTTTGTTTCCCTGTTGCACTTCCGATGTAATTGTCTGATTTTGCAACCTTGAAATACAGCAAACCCTCAAGACTGATTCCCTTCTTTTCTCAAAGGTGTCGTCCAGCTGATGCTGGCAGACTATTTCCACTTAGCATTTTGTCGTCAGCTGCGGTCGTGATGTGACTGTTCTATGGAAAGCTATTCTGTTATATTTAGATTGCATTTTAAGTTAAACTTGTTTTAAGGAAAGCCTTAGAGATTTACAGTTTTAGTTACTGAATAATATTAAGACTTCTCACCAGCTTGAGATTTTTTAAGGGAGATTCAAATACTGAGGGAAAAGGCCTGATGGCTAAATTTCCTTGTTCTGATTAGAGTCAGATCAAGGCAATACTACCCATAGGTAACTTACTTGAGAATTGTTTGAATCAAGAAAAGCTGTGAAAGAAAAAGGCAACATGATGGGGAAGTTTGCTGCCAGACTGAGGTGGGCAAAATGTACAGCATATACTTCAGTGAAAATGTGCTACTTTGAGTTAAAATGTCTAGGCAAAGTTCTGCCAAGACCAGAAGCACAGTCAGAGGACGTGAAATTCCAGCAAGTGGAGAGGAATATTTTCCAGTCCATATTTAAGTCAGTCCGCAATAAAAATCAAAGTTAGTGTCGAAGAGCTCTGTGATGCCTACATATGATAGATCTTTCAGTCTGTTTTCTTTTTCAATACATCAAGGCAGCTTCTGTCTATGCTCAGTTTATAAATATATTTCATGTCCCCATTACCCAGGGGTTCCCCCTCTCTCCCTGTCAGAGGTACAAGTCTGCCCACTGGCTCCATTCCTTGTCTCTGGGTGTGGCCAGAGGTGCAGGGTGAACAAACGTGAGAAAGAGGACCAGTAGCTGAGGGGAATAACCTTCAGCGACTTAAGCAGGAGTATCCAGCCCTCCCCCCGGTTGCAGTGTGACAGGGATGTTCTGACTCACCTTAGAAGCAGGTAGTACCTTGTGCTTTGATGCCGTAGTACAGCAAATCCTGCACTGGGATAAGGTGAAAGCTAGCAAAAGGCTAGGAGGGCTGGCCTAGGAATCCAAGGATTATTATGGTACAGTGAAAAGATCTTTGGACAGATTACAAGTTCTAGCCACCAACCCACCAGTAAATCAGGTGGTTTTGAGATGGGATCCTCAGAGTCCCAGGTTGCCCTGAGATGCCTTGGGAGCAGCACTGTGGCAGGAGGTATAGCAGATGGAGCTCTTGACCATCAGCCTGGGCTCCAGCCAGAGCAGCTCCACTTACGTCTGTTAAACATGTGCAAATTTGGAGATCGAGTTCTTTTTGTGACAGGGTTCTGCTGTTTAAAACAAACAAAAAGCTAGAAAACTACCGGTCAGCATCATTTCCAATGTCCCGTCTAGATGAAATAGTCTGTAATTGCCTGACTGCAGTCACCTGCACTGTGTCCTCTACCACGAGCAATCAGCAAGCCGGGCCAGAAGGGAAGCATTAGGCTGGAAGCAGATTTCCTGGGAAGCCAACGAGGCTTAAACACCAAGGCCTCTTGCTTGCTGGGCCTTCCAAAGCCTGCTACCTCATTTTATATTCATTATTTAATTTTTGTTTTTAAGGGGAGTTCCTAAGTTGTACAAGCTTTAGGCCCCACAAACCCTGGATCCT